CTGAGTCACGGGGAATGTTCTGTCCGGATTAACGGGGTCTTATTTTAACCCGAATATTCCAAACTGGCGTCTGTAGAGGGTCTTCGGGGTTAATGTGACGTCACTGTACAGAAATGTTCGTGAACTTAACGCGGATAGAGTTGTGTCCCTTTGCGGTGCTACACATGTGTATGTGTGACGCCATATAGAATCTAGAATGAAAGTAGACCGCACCGTCGCTCTTGTCATAATTATCTGGGGGAAATGTGTTTCCCCCATCTGTCAACAGGGACGACAGGGACGACAGGGGGACATACGACGGAGCAGGACATTCTGACACGACTAATATGATGCATTCAATGAAAATATACGCCTCGACTCACCAAATCTGCTTAAACTTACCACGAGGCGACTATGCTTGTCGTAAGAGGCGAATAATGGGATCGGGTGGTCAGGCTCGCTGACTTGGTTGATGCATGTCATCATATCCCAGTTGCGTAGATCGATGTACAAGATGTCAACCACTGGCTTGTCTGAGCAAGCCACTGATATTTACAGACCGTCGTCTTATAGCTGGAATATTGCTGAGTGCTAGTTATATGCCAGCTCGGCTGTGGGTGAGGATCTCCAGAATGCGTGATGACCACTGGATACCGGCCTGATGGCAGGTTTAAAGACCAACAAATAGTCCGTGAATTCCTTTTTTCGTTTTCATAGTATACACATATTCCACAGTCATGGTGCACGAGTGACAGTTTTATTACAAAACAAGATCCTTCCAGATTTTCGGCGGATTAAAGTAGAGTTGTTCCATTAGATGCGATCATGGTAATGAACTGGTCTGAAACTCGCATCTCAATCTGGAGTCAGCTGAATTGACTCGCTAATCGCTTAATGTCGGTTACTCTGCCCAGAGAGACATGTAACTGGAGACTGGGGCATCGTGTTGCCCCTGACCTTGACCTTGTGGCTTGATGCAGCGTCTGATATCATGCCTGATACGATCATAGATATTTAGGAGGCTGATAAGAATCATTCTGTTTCACACGCTGATATCAGGGTCGTGATGGTTAACGATGGGTGATGGTTAACGATGGGGTGATGGTTAACGATGGGTGATGGTTAACGGTGGGGTGATTGTTAACGATGGGTGATGGTTAACGGTTTGGTGTTGGTCAACGGTGGGGTGGTGGTTAACGCTGGGGTGTTGGTTAACGGCGGGGTGATGGTTAACGTTTGGGTAATAGTTAACGATGGGTGATGGTTAACGGTTGGTCTGGGCTTAAAGAAGACCCGTATCGTGGTCTTGTGGATAAGATTATGCGTTGGAAGGGGTTTAGTCTGTCTTACAGACCCTGATACAAATATATAATTATCAAATACAGCCCATGCAAGTCTATAATGTTTGGCAAGTCTAGATTACTGCAGCATCAGGAAGACAGTCTCTGGGCTCCCTTTTATTATATTTTTACAAAGATAATTGAACAACTGTTTTTTCCGTACGATATGTTCATTTCAGAAACTAGATGTTAGTCGATGCCCGATGAGGATGTTATCGTTTCCGCGATGTTCTCCGATACGATATCTCAATAATATGCCCAATTCGTCGTGACGAGCGAGCTCCAACCATCAGGCTATACACCATCGACCCCCGATCGTGATTACAAGGCAGCTTCGTGGTAATCCGTTATTAACCTAGTTGGACTGATTATTTTGCTAATCAGTCGACAGATAGCTAATTCTCCAGGTATTAATGTTACCATCATAGACTATTGCTACATCGCCTGGGATATATGTCCTTAAATCAGCATACCAAGTGCAAATTATAGTCTAACATCCAGGCATGCAAACATTGTATAAATATTCCAATACTGTAGCATCAGTCGGTTATGCCCATGTCAATCAAAGCCCCGCGTGAACCAGATGGTATGAATTAACAATAACAAATGACGAATAACCTACTTTACTTTGCGTCATGTATAGCATTAGTATACTCCAATTACCTACCATCCCTAGCATCAACAAAACTACATCTGCGTGATCGTTATAAAACTCTATTGTGTCTGATAAGGTGCTTTATTTGACGACAGTCCCGCGAGGAACGGTCGGGGAATTATTAACAGCGCGGCTTGTGTTAATAGACATGCGTGATGTTGGGACGGTCCCTCGTGTGATGAACATTATCCGTTATCACCCACGACCTTTAACCTTTGCCCGAATGATGTTGGCGACACTGTGAGCCACAGCGAGGAAGGTGTCTGTCATCTAGGGTGCAATACGGACCTAACTGTTGTTTCCTCTCTGTGGGGCAGTCAAAAAGATGGAGTCGCGAGGATGCGTACAGGTAGGGAAAACGCTGTTGTCTCGCTAACTAACGGACTATATCGAGGGTTGAGGTGTATATACAACGAAAACGTCCATGCTCTTTGAAAGAAGTTAGGGAACGTCAGGAAGGTTTAGTATGAAATTTCGTTTCTACCCCGAAGAAAATTAGATCTTGTGACCACCAGAGAATTATGTTGCACCAAATGACCTGTGTTGATGTGGGTATAAACACCGAACAACACCGTAGATATGACCTACAATAATCTAACCTGTTCCTTTATTTATGTCAATCAGTATATAGCCAGCTGCGTGTATCTTTACGATAGTTATGTAGTAGACATGATCAATCGGTCGGATTTTTTAAAACTATCATCGCGAACAAGCGGACATTAATTCGATTTTGCTTTCAAGTTTTATATTTACCCGAAACATTTCTGGAAGGAAATCTGACCTGAGCGTCAGACGCGGAAATGTTTTCTATGAAGTTGGGGATATTGTTTGTTTCCGATTTGGTCGTAGATTACGGTATAACACGAACATATTAACTAAGTTATCCATACAGATATATTTGTGTTTCTTATCAGTATTGTCTTATTATAAATATTGGTCCAAACACAATGGAAACTTGACACCCTGCATGCGTTTCACGGGCTGCACGCTTAGGTGAGCTGTCAGTTTCAAACGAAAGATTGTGAGTTTCTGAAGTTTGAGATTGAGTACACTTAGTTTCAGGATGCGTTTATAGTTATTCACACATCATCGGAAGTGATAACGGGAAGTTAAATGCGTCACTTGTTTGATTTTAGAGGCTATACGTGTATATGGTAGCGCTTCATATCTCGGGTGTGCCAATGACCTACTGACTTGACTGTGTATATATGTGTATTTTCGAATCCAGTGCTCGTGGGTTTCACCAAAATGGTAAAAGTCTACCACTGCACTACTTTGGTCTTTTCTCCCACATTAGGTTTACATGCCGTGATATAACTGAAGTATAGTTCACAGCGTAACTACCACGTTTAACGACATTCACATACGCACGCATTTTTTTATACTTTCATGAAACTAACGTTCTGTATTTTAGGAATCTGCTGAATATGCTATATATGAATTTATAGTTAGAGCTTGCATATATCTGGGCATGTCATGACCCGAATACCCAAGGTCCACGTTTCTCCCTAGCTTGACATTTCCATCAGTAATGAATGTGTTCATTCCACTCCCATCCCGACGTTTTAAAAGTCAGATTGCCTCACCTGTTTGTTTGTTTGTTGTTTAACGCCGCACTCAGCAATATTCCAGCTATATGACGGCGGTCTGTAAATAATTGAGTCTGGATCAGACAATCCAGTGACTAATGTCGTTCAACGTGATTGGGGTAAAATGACATGCATGAACCAAGTCAGCGAGCCTGACTACCCGATCCCGTTAGTCGCCTCTTACGACAAACAGTCGCCTCTAACGGCAAGCACGGGTTAGTGGTTTATGTAAAACAGCCACACCTTTTGAGCTAATAATTGGTTTGACTGCGAGTATTCTGACAATGTCATGTTTTGTGTAGTTTCTTGGGTGTTTTGCGACCCTGTCAGCAATATTCCAGCTGTATGACGATGGTCTGTAATAATGAGTCTGGACTCGCTAAACTAGTGGTTGATATTATGAGCTTCATATCTCGGGTGTGCCAATAACATACTGACTTGACTGTATATATGTCTATTTTCGAATCCAGTGCTCGTGGGTTTCAGAAATGGTAAAAGTTTACCACTGCATTACTTTGGTCTTTTCTCCCACAGTTTCATGAAACTAACTTTTTGAATTTTAGGAATCTGCTAAATATGCCCATTTATAGTTAGAGCTTGCATATATCTGGGCATGCCATGACCCGAACCCCCAAGGTCCACGTTTCTCCCTAGTTTGAAATTTCAATCAGTGATGAATGTGTTCATTCCACTCCAACCCCGACGTTTTAAATGTCAGATTGCCCCACCGCCAACCCCAGTCGGTTTCATCATGACCCTGTGATGATTCCGGGCGAAATAGGTGAGAGGTGAATAGTGACCTCTGCTTGTTGTAAGAGGCGACTAAGTGGACCTACATAGCTGAACGGAAATATTCTAACTCACAAACCTGAACCCAACATTTGCCAGCCAAAGGGAAGCCACTCGTGCGGAATAATATACAGCAATTGAAACGGACATAAAATTCAATGCCACGGCTACAACAGGATGTGTTCCCTGTCGTGCTCATTTGTCTGTTCAACTTTATCCTTGACGTTTTATGTAAGATGAAGTGAGAACGATTGCTTACATTTTAGTTTGCAATATTTCTGGATGCTGTATTATCAGAATGTTGTGTAATGGGTGTTTTCAGTATGCTGCGTTTACAGATGTTGTTTTGTCAGTGTCTTGCGTAATGTTTCTTTAGGATGCTGCGTTTTTAGATTTTGTTTTATCTGTGTCTTGTGTAATATTTTTGAAGATGATGCGTTTATATATGTTGTTTTATCATGTCTTGTGTTATGTTTTTTAGGATGCTGCGTTCATTGATGTTGTTTTGTCAGTGTGTTATGTAATGTTTTTTGGATGCTGTGTTTACAGATGTTGCTTTGCCACTGTCTTGTGTAATATTTTTTAAGATGCTGCGTTTATAGATGTTGTTTTATCCGGGTCTTGTGTAATGTTGTTTTGTTGTTGCAGGAGGAACTAGACATGCTGAACAGTGCCAGCAATGACATCAACCGGCTGGAGAACGAGATCGACGTGAGTGGCAGGGGTGGCGATGGGGTGGTAATGGGGTGGTAATGGGGTGGTTATTGGGTGGCAATGGGGTAGTTATGGGGTGGCGGTTGTTAAGGAACAATACGGGATGGTGCGTTAGGTATTCCACTCCTCAGTTGAAAACTCATTTCAGAGTAGTGGTTAATGTTTTGTTTGTTTGTTGTTTGACGCCGCACTCAGCAATATTCCAGCTATATGACGGCGGTCTGTAAATAATGGAGTCTGGACCAGACAATCCAGTGACTGATGTCGTTCAACGTGATTAGGGTAAAATGACATGCATCAACCAAGTCAGCGAGCCTGACTACTCGATCCCGTTAGTCGCCTCTTACGACAAACAGTCACCTCTAACGGCAAGCACAGGTTAGTGGTTTAAGTAAAACAGACACACCTTTTGAGCTTATAATTGGTTTGACAGCGAGTATTCTGACAATGTCATGTTTTGTGTGTATTTTCTTTGGTGTTTTTACGACCCTGTCAGCAATATTCCAGCTGTATGACGACGGCCTGTAATATTGAGTCTGGACTCGCTAAACTAGTGGTTGATATTATGAGCAACACCCTCGGGTACGATGACACGCATTCAACCATGGCCCCGACTCAAACGCGATCCAATTAAGGCCACATACAATAACGACTTTGTGATCATAGTTCGGACATTCAGAGAGGAAGATATACATCATTCATAGATTGATTTTGCAAACTATTACCCCGGGGAAATAAATATTTTTTTCTATATACTTTTCATCTCAGGAGGCGAGAGCCAAGTATCGACTGACGTTTTCCGATGCTTCTCACAAGATGGAGTCCATGGGTCGCGGTCTGAAGAACTTCATCCAGAGGGCGCGCATCTACTACCAGTTGAAGGAAGCCGCTATTGAGGTCAGAATCACCAACCACTTCCGGTTGTAGCTTACTTCTCGTGGAGGACAATCACTGCCTATATCAAATTATACCTTGTTTGTTTGTTGTTTAACGCCGCATTCAGCATATTCCAGCCATATGACGGCGATCTGTAACTAACCACGAGCATCGATCCACGCAATTGGGATACCATGACATGCATCAACGAAGTCAGCGAACCTGACCGTCAACAATCACACTGTGGTCTGTCCTGACATACGGTTCAATGCCGCTTTGAACTAAACTCACTTTCGACCCGAGTCTGTCTCCAAGACCCTTGAGAATAAATTAAAAATGTAATACAACTCAAGTCTAAAAATAATTGTTCTGGGCTCAATTTGTTTTATATTTGTTATTTTATTTATTTGTGAGACTAGATGTTAGTCTATGGTCGTACCATGTGCTGGTAAACCGCTGGCATTTATCATTATTTATAACTCACCATGACAACGCGATACCCTGAACTTGAGTTAAAGTGACTATAACCGCCACTACCATGCTGTAGACAAGAGAGAAATCACACAGTTGCAGTAAGTACAACAATATTGGACTCACCGGTGACAAAAATAATTTAACTTCAAACAATAGTCAATCACTCCGCCCCTTGACGTGAGCTCCTTACAGCACTTCTGCACCGTTGGCGTAGATTGTCGACGTGGGAAGTCAATTCTGAAACCTAATCCGGTTTCATACAATCTTTATAATATTGCATTGTCGCTTTCTGAACTGGAGTTTGAAACCAGTTTCAGGATTGTATCGCCCGTTGTCAGGATCACCAATTGCAATAGGGATCGAGTTATCTCCCTTACTTCAACTCCCACACTGCTGCAGGTCACAGACAGCCAAAGGGTTTCCCATTATTGCCTTCTATACCAACGTTATATTCGTTTGAAAATAACTAAGCATTCAACAGCTATTACATGTACACGTGTGCAGTCTGGCCTCTTAGCAGCAATAAAAACAAAAAAATTGACAAGCTTTGAGAGCTCCTTTTCCGAGAACAGGATGCTTAACATACCACCCCCAGTTCCGCACCAAATGTCACTTGCTTGAAAATATCCGTGGTCACATTCAGTCATCATGGTTAAAAAAAGACAGCACAGAAAACGTGGTAAGTTTAAATTACTGGATGTTGTACATTTATAAGACAGAAATATCTTGCACAGATTTATCCAACCACAGCTGCCAGAGTCAATCTGCACGTTCTACGAAAACTGCTTGTCGAACGACTGATTCTGTTTTGGTGTAGTAGAACCTGTAGATCAGTCATAGATCCCGGCCTCTCCAGCGTCCATCTCCAAATGAAAGGTGTGATGTTCTCACATGAAAATATATAAGTTTGACAGAAACAAAAAAATCTATTTATATTGTAAAGGAGCCCCAGTGAGATGGGGGATTTCTGAGGAAAATCTAGACTTGCTTCATCTAAGGCTTTTGAATGCCAGAAAGGGCTAGGGGTTAGAGAAAATAAAATGGTTCAGGGACTGTGAGACGGACTACACCTTACGTGCAGACACTCGTCGCGAGGTTGGCGTGACCTGTGTCTGAAATTTTTACCACATTCAGCAACTGCGGGAATGTCTGTGTGAGAGAACGGGCGGAGTGTTTTTGTAACCACCCTGAGATGTTATGCCACTGACTGATGCGCCCGACCAATCTGGGACAAGGCTGGCATATGTACTCAGTATGTTCCAAAGGCCATTAATTGTGACACGCCCAGTGCTATCTCGCGAAACAATGTGCAGCTACTGGGAGCAGTGTTACACAAACAGGACGTGGCCGCTCAGTTGGATTTAACTTTGGGATATGTGATAACAGTCATCAGTGGTATACATTGATCAATTTTATTGCATTAAAACTTCAAACCCCAGGCATTAAATCATATGCGGATGCAGAGTGTTGGGGCGGTGGTGGGATGTGCTCTTAAGGTATTACACAAGAAAACTATCCGCGCTTGCAAATCCTTACTGTTTGGGTGAGTGAGTGAGTTTGGTTTTTCGCCGCTTTTAGCAATATCCCAGTCATAGCACGGTGGAGGACATCAAAAATGGGATTCACACATTGTACCCATGTAGGGAACGATCTCAGGCATTCGGCTTGACGAACGAACACTTCAACCACTTAGCTACCCCGCCGCCAGCGTCAGCACAAGTACAAGTGGACATTTTCCCTTGGCACGTTAATCCAGACATTTGTCAGTCCGGACCAATACGCGGATACATGTACTGTCCGGATTAATGGGGTTACACTGTGCTTGTCGTAAGAGGCGACTAACGGGATCAGGTGGTCAGATTCGCTGGCTTGGTTGATGCACGTCATCGTATTCCAATTTGGGGCACGGGTGGCCCAGTCGCCTATTCGCTGTGCAGAGTTGCGTCCCTTGGGCACGCCAGAAGCCTATGAGTGTGGGTTCGAAACCCGGTCGCCCCGATTATGTTTCTAGGTTTGTCAGCACCATACCCATGCTCGTGGGTTTCACCGAAGTAGTTGACGTCTGAGACCTGCATCACTTCGGGCTTTTCTCCCACATTAAGCTGACACGCCGCGATATAACTGTAATACTGTTAAAAGCGGCGTTAAACCCAACTCACTCACTCGTATTCCAATTGGGTAGATCGATGCCCACGATATCAGTCACTGGATTGTCTGGTCCAGACTCGATTATTTACAGACCGCCGTCGCATACATTGTACCTGGACTATTACTGAGTGCGGCGTCAAACAACAAACAAGCAAACAAACAACTTTCTGTCAATAATGTTTGCATATTTATCACAATGTCTGGTTTCCGGAAACCGCGGAGCGGCAGTGTTGAACAGCTGGCGTGGGTTTCTAAGATAAATATTGCGCTGTGTTTTTATAATTATATAATCCTCCATGATGCGTCATGTCTTTCGTGTCCGAAACACACATAAACCTACCCCAATAACAAGTTGAGGCGTGTTGGCATTCCTCCCATCCCCAACACCCCATAAGTAAATATCGCACATAAGGAAGCAATTTCTGCAGACACAACAGAGTAGGTCTACCCTTCTACACAGTAGTTCGGGGGTGAGGAAGCCAAGTGGTTCATGGGGCAGCCAGTAAAGCAGAAGTTCCGGGTTTGACCCCTGACAGACCCACCGTGATATAACTGTAATATTGCTGACTACAACCTACCGTGATATAACTGTAATATTGCTGACTACAACCTACCGTGATATAACTGTAATATTGCTGACTACAACCTACCGTGATATAACTGTAATATTGCTGACTAAAACCCACCGTGATATAACTGTAATATTGCTGACTACAACCTACCGTGATATAACTGTAATATTGCTGACTATAACCCACCGCGATATAACTGTAATATTGCTGACTACAACCTACCGTGATATAACTGTAATATTGCTGACTACAACCTACCGTGATATAACTGTAATATTGCTGACTACAACCTACCGTGATATAACTGTAATATTGCTGACTACAACCTACCGTGATATAACTGTAATATTGCTGACTACAACCCGCCGCGATATAGCTGTAATATTGCTGACTAAAACCCACCGTGATATAGCTATAATATTGCTGACTAAAACCCACCGTGATATGACTGTAATATTGCTGACTACAACCCACCGCGATATGACTGTAATATTGCTGATTACAACCCACAGCGATATGACTGTAATATTGCTGACTACAACCCACCGTGATATAACTGTAATATTGCTGACTACAACCTACTGTGATATAACTGTAATATTGCTGACTACAACCTACCGTGATATAACTGTAATATTGCTGACTACAACCCGCCTCGATATAGCTGTAATATTGCTGACTAAAACCCACCGTGATATAGCTATAATATTGCTGACTAAAACCCACCGTGATATGACTGTAATATTGCTGACTACAACCCACCGCGATATGACTGTAATATTGCTGATTACAACCCACCGCGATATGACTGTAATATTGCTGACTACAACCCACCGTGATATAACTGTTATATTGCTGACTACAACCTACTGTGATATAACTGTAATATTGCTGACTACAACCTACCGTGATATAACTGTAATATTGCTGACTACAACCCGCCGCGATATAGCTGTAATATTGCTGACTACAACCCACCGCGATATAACTGTAATATTGCTGACTACAACCTACCGTGATATAACTGTAATATTGCTGACTACAACCTACCGTGATATAACTGTAATATTGCTGACTACAACCAACCGTGATATAACTGTAATATTGCTGACTACAACCTACCGTGATATAACTGTAATATTGCTGACTACAACCCGCCGCGATATAGCTGTAATATTGCTGACTAAAACCCACCGTGATATAGCTATAATATTGCTGACTAAAACCCACCGTGATATGACTGTAATATTGCTGACTACAACCCACCGCGATATGACTGTAATATTGCTGACTACAACCTACTGTGATATAACTGTAATATTGCTGACTACAACCTACCGTGATATAACTGTAATATTGCTGACTACAACCCGCCTCGATATAGCTGTAATATTGCTGACTAAAACCCACCGTGATATAGCTATAATATTGCTGACTAAAACCCACCGTGATATGACTGTAATATTGCTGACTACAACCCACCGCGATATGACTGTAATATTGCTGATTACAACCCACCGCGATATGACTGTAATATTGCTGACTACAACCCACCGTGATATAACTGTTATATTGCTGACTACAACCTACTGTGATATAACTGTAATATTGCTGACTACAACCTACCGTGATATAACTGTAATATTGCTGACTACAACCCGCCGCGATATAGCTGTAATATTGCTGACTACAACCCACCGCGATATAACTGTAATATTGCTGACTACAACCTACCGTGATATAACTGTAATATTGCTGACTACAACCTACCGTGATATAACTGTAATATTGCTGACTACAACCAACCGTGATATAACTGTAATATTGCTGACTACAACCTACCGTGATATAACTGTAATATTGCTGACTACAACCCGCCGCGATATAGCTGTAATATTGCTGACTAAAACCCACCGTGATATAGCTATAATATTGCTGACTAAAACCCACCGTGATATGACTGTAATATTGCTGACTACAACCCACCGCGATATGACTGTAATATTGCTGATTACAACCCACCGCGATATGACTGTAATATTGCTGACTACAACCCACCGTGATATAACTGTTATATTGCTGACTACAACCTACTGTGATATAACTGTAATATTGCTGACTACAACCTACCGTGATATAACTGTAATATTGCTGACTACAACCCGCCTCGATATAGCTGTAATATTGCTGACTAAAACCCACCGTGATATAGCTATAATATTGCTGACTAAAACCCACCGTGATATAACTGTAATATTGCTGACTACAACCCACCGCGATATGACTGTAATATTGCTGATTACAACCCACCGTGATATAGCTGTAATATTGCTGACTACAACCTACTGTGATATAACTGTAATAATGCTGACTACAACCTACTGTAATATAACTGTAATATTGCTGACTACAACCTACCGCGATATAACTGTAATAATGCTGACTACAACCTACTGTGATATAACTGTAATATTGCTGACTACAACCTACTGTGATATAACTGTAATAATGCTGACTACAACCTACTGTAATATAACTGTTATATTGCTGACTACAACCTACCCTGATATAACTGTAATATTGCTGACTACAACCCGCCGCGATATAGCTGTAATATTGCTGACTAAAACCCACCGTGATATAGCTATAATATTGCTGACTAAAACCCACCGTGATATAACTGTAATATTGCTGACTACAACCCACCGCGATATGACTGTAATATTGCTGATTACAACCCGACGGGATATAACTGTAATATTGCTGACTACAACCCACCGCGATATGACTGTAATATTGCTGACTACAACCCATCGTGATATAGCTGTAATATTGCTGACAACAACCCAATGTGATATGACTGTAATATTGCTGACTACAACCCATCGTGATATAGCTGTAATATTGCTGACAACAACCCAATGTGATATAACTGTAATATTGCTGACTACAACCAAAAGCGATATGACTGTAATATTGCTGACAACAACCCACTGATATAACTGTAAGATTGCTGACAAAACCCCACCGTGATATAGCTGTAATATTGCTGACAAAAACCCGATGTGATATAACCGTTATATTGCTGACTGACTACAACCCAATGTGATATAGCTGTAATATTGCTGACTACAACCCACCGCGATATGACTGTAATGTTTCTGACTAAAACCCACCGTGATATAGCTGTAATATTGCTGACTACAACCCAATGTAATATAACTGTAATATTGCTGATTACAACCAACCGCGATATAACTGTAATATTGCTGACTACAACCCAATGTGATATAACTGTAATATTGCTGACTACAACCCACCGCGATATAACTGTAATATTGCTGACTACAACCCAATGTGATATAACTGTAATATTGCTGACTACAACCCACCGCGATATAACTGTCATATTGCTGACTACAACCCAATGTGATATAACTGTAATATTGCTGACTACAACCCAATGTGATATAACTGTAATATTGCTGACTACAACCCAATGTGATATAACTGTAATATTGCTGACTACACCACATGTAGCTATGGCATCCATATATAAGCACATCTGCAAGCTGGACAAGAAAAACGATATGTCAACTGCAACTACCACTTGGACTGTGTTTCCATACAACGCTTACCATAATTTCGTTTGTTGTCATCAAAGTAAATAGTTTTGGCAAATATTATTGCCTGCGTTACGGCAAGCCCACCTAACCCCGTGTTTGATGTTTCGATGACTGGCAGATGTGGGAGAGGGAATGCACCGTGCATGCTCTGTAAATAGTGGCATTGGCGAATGCTTCATAAAAATATGAAAATGTACAGCTCGGTCCTTTTTATCTGCCCTTTTGAAAAAGCATTTTAATAACGTATCGTTAACCCACTTTAAATGCAGTCGTAACGAATTACACCAGAGCTAATACTGATGCCTCACATGCTTGAATAAGGGAGTTTTGTCAAATATAATTCATCAACGTGACCGGCCAACGTTATTGAACACACATACGTACACACGCACATACGCAAAGGCTCTCACATACATACGATCGGATAAGAAACGAGAGATTCACTTAAAACGTATATTTCAGAACAATGATTTTGTGTTACTGGTTCCAAGCACATTATCACGTAGGTAGTTTGGTTTGCAAGTGCTCAACTGTTTGACTAGAACACAATGTTGTCTGCCACACGCTTTGCATTGTGAAAACAAAGACACGTTCATCTCATTTAATTCCGTGAAATCATCAGTTGAAACTTTTTGTGAAAACCATTACGGAGTCATGGAAAAGAATTATTAAATTCCCTGTAGATGTTAACTGAAAATCAACGTTCTCTGTTCCATTTCAGGCTCAAAGTGAGGCCCTGCGTGCCGCTCGTCAGTACCAGACAGCCAATGGAATTTATAGAGCAGCGAAAGAAACGATCGCATTGGCTGAACAGAAGTTAATGGATGACCAATCAGCGGCTATGTTGTCTAGTGCTTGGCAGGAAATGCTCAACCATGCCACGATAAGGGTAGGTAATAACATGGGGTTCCACACTAGTCAAATTATATTGCCACGTTCTCTCCCAGGGACAGTTACAGTGTTGCCATGTTCTCCCCCAGCTATAGGGACAGTTACAGTGTTGCCACGTTCTCCCCCAGCTATAGGGACAGTTACAGTGTTGCCATGTCCTCTCTCAGCTATAGGGACAGTTACAGTGTTGCCATGTCCTCTCTCAGCTATAGGGACAGTTACAGTGTTGCCATGTCCTCTCTCAGCTATAGGGACAGTTACAGTGTTGCCATGTCCTCTCCCAGCTATAGGGACAGTTACAGTGTTGCCATGTCCTTTGTCCAGGTGATGGACGCGGAGCGGGAGAAGACACGGAGTGAACAGGAACATCTCCGACGCTCCAACATCTTCGCCGAACTGGAGACGAAGCTGACGTATCTGGAGAAGAAGTTCAAGAAATCCATCCTGAAGGCCAGGTAGGTTGTCGTGGAGGTAGATGATGCTGCGGTTGGTGCTGATGATGTGAACCAAAGGACAGATCATATAATACTCAGAGCAGGAGCTGGGAGTTTTTTCGTAGATAGAATTATTTCGGAAACTGCTTCGAGACGTACAATGTTTTTTTTAAAGGCTATTTCCGGTGTGGTCCGTAGATACGTTGTTATATGCGCATGCGCGCTCAGACGTGTTTGTGACGTATTTCACACGTGTCATCACTGCTTGCAGGCCCTATTTAATCAGTCTTAGAGAGTGAGTATTGTTTTACACCGCGTTCAACACTATTACAGTATGATCACCCTATATTGAGCTTGTGGGAAAGACGAGCCAACGTTTTAACCACTAGACTATACCATCGTCCACATTCATATATCTCTGGTACATGCTATCAATTTAATCAATTTGCTGAGTAATCTTTTTTAATGATCGCTGTATCTTTTTCCACACAGATTAGTACGCATGTACTTGAGCACGGCTGAGTATCTTGGCGTCAGACATAGAATAGGCATGTCGGGTTGACTAATATAGGGCCAGTTGTCTCCCCTGCTCCCCATGATTTATGAGCTCCGTAAAGTGTTTTGACTAAGCCATGATTGAATAAAAATTTGTTCTGCACCTGTAACATAGTCTAGAGCTATTTCCACAAACTATATGAAGCCGAAAATTACAGCAAGCTGAAAATAATCTGGAACTGCTGTTGTGACAACGAGTCTCAACTAAGGTTATTCACCTTACCAGAGGGGGCTGAACAGGCATCAGGTATCCAAGTACTGTAGGCGGCAGTAAGGAAAATAATCGTTGAAATTACAATATGAACCCATTTGTTTTTAATATAGAATAGAATTGATAAACTTGAAGACCTGTCAATTTGATGGAGGTGGGAGGGGGCTGGGGGGGGGGGGGGGGGGGGGGTCACCTCACCTCACAGCCTAGTGGTTCGCTCGTTCGCACACGGTTTGAGTCCCCACAAGGGTAGAATGTGTAAAGCCCATTTGTGTTGTTCCCCGCCGTGATATTGCTGGAGTATTGCTGAAAGTGACGTAACACACCTCACGACACCCCCCCACCCAAGTACCGTTTTGTATATTGTAGTTACGGTACAGAGAAGTGTGTGAGAAAGAAGAAATATATTTCTATGGCGTAACATTTTTATAACCTCCTTTTTTCTTTGCAGACCATACTTTGAACTCAAGGCTCAACTTGAACTGAAGCTGCAGGTAAATATATTCGCGGTAACGGCACCCATCAAACCAGGCTTAAGCAGCGTGCTTGTGTTGTCCACAGTAGAGTAGGCGATCTACTGGTCCAAATAATCACAAACAGATGGGGGGTGAGGCTGATGACGTATATTTAAATATAGTAGGTACGCATGTACGTACGTACTTACTTCGGCCTGAAACAATGAAAGTACAACATAGGCAAATAAAACATAGAATCTAATAACTATACACAATCTGTTATAGTTACTTTTTTAATTTATAAAATAGAGATATCACTTTCATTAAGTAAATAGCACTTACTTACACCATGTAGTACTGTACGTATCCGTACAATACATCACACGAATCCGTACAATACATCACACGTATCTGTACAATACATCACGCGTATCTGTACAATACATCGCACGTATCCGAACAATACATCACACGTATCCGCACAATGCATCACACGTATCTGTACCATACATCACACGTATCTGTACAATACATCACACGTATCCGTACAATACATCAATGTATCAATACACAGATACAAAATATTTAAATATGATAATAAAGTGATAACGAACATACTGTATGTAACTTTGATAAGAATTACAAATCATGGAAGAAAGAATATTTATACAATCTCCAAGATGACATAACATAGCAGATAGGGGAAACCTGTACTGGTAATATCGGTAACATACTGCGATCACTTCTCAGGTGTGCCACAATTATCGTGCGACAGTCAGGTCTACCAATGAAAGTCATTAAAATCACCATGAAGATTAAAACCTGCCGCATTTTCAATGGAGACCGCCACAAGCCGAATGCATGCGCACGGAATGCATGCGCACTCGGTCTGTTGCGGTCTGCGTGATTGAATGTGTTTGGTTCCAGTGGAAATGTGGCGTGTTTTACTCATGACGATGCACAGTTTATGGGGATTGTGTCATGTTTGTAATTTGATTTGCTGTTTCTATTAAAAGTGTGTACATATTCCATAGTTTGGTTGCTCTCTGTTGTTTTCATTGGTGGGTCTGACAGTGTCGATGCTAAGATAGCTTTTGGGAACACCGCTCTGACATGTGAAACGTTTCTTCACACGAGTGACTTATTTTTGGACAATGCTCATGGCTTGTGAATGTGATTTCTGAAATTATGGCAACTTATTAAGGGTAACTCATCTTCCGAGTAGTTATAATGGATATTCTTACACTTTGAAAAAGATTCGTACGTACGTGCATTAACACGGGCTTAAAAGGATATATGTTCGTAGAGTTGTACCATCTCGTTATCACTAACAATATAAATCATTACAAAATTCTTTTAGCGGATTCTGAGTGAAATCGAGACGAGCGAGATGTCGACTTTTAATCGAGTTCATTAACCGGAAGTTACGCCACTATCTAATTGTCATATTATCTCTCTCAGCAACAGAAGCAGAATATAGATGACCTTCAGAACGCAATACGTTCTTCCAAGGTCAAGTACTCGGACTCACTGCGCCACCTGGAAGGGATCTCAGAGGAGATCCACGAGAGCAGACGACAGAAGATCCTGCTGATGTTTCCGCGGGAACCGGGGGTGGGAGCAGACGACGAGAGCCTGGGGTCCAGTATATCCGAGCAAAACATTGGTACGTGCAGTCTAGTAAGCCAGTAACATCGTATACGTTCATGTACGCGTAGGTGAGGTGGGGTAGCTTTGTGGTTAAAGCGTTCACTCGTCAGGCCGTAGACCCGGGTACAATGTGTGAAGCCCATTTCTGGTATCCCCCAACCCGTGATATTGCCATCTTCACGAGGCAGGGGCGTTAACTGTTAGGTCTTAAAAGTCAGGATCTGGTAATTAGTGTAGTCAGTATGTGTTGGTTGTGATCGCCAAAATGTCATCTTTAATATTATAGTCAATGTCTCCATTTTTCAGAGCGAGGTCTGTTTTCTGCTTCCTCACGCACTGACGACCATCTTGATTCAGAAATAGACGAGATTGATGACGTTTTTACTTCTGATCACGTGACGGACCACGCCCCGAATGCTTCATCTACTGATATTAACTATCCAAAGAACCTACCAGGCACTAAACACCTCATAAACAGCCACGTGACTTCCAAATCACCCGACACAAAGGGAGATAACCGACCGGATGTTCTGCATAACGTGCATGTAGACGACATCAGTGCTTCCTTCAAACAATGTGATATGATTAATGACAACAGTTGTGCTGGGGGGAGATCGTGTCCTGCCTCGGGGGTTGTGAACGGGGTAGGCAATGACCACAACCATCCAGACACTCCCTCGGGTATTAGACAATGTGGAAGCGGGGCAGAAATATCACCTGTGTGCGTAGATGACGTCACGACATGCTCAACTGACGTCATTGAAAAAGTGAATGACGTCATTTTACCGGAAAGAGACGATCACACAGAAGGCTCCTCCGACCCAGAAGAGTGTGTTAAAGATCTGAAACTCAGCAGAGATAACAGGACCGAATCTACAGACGTTTTATAACCACGCGGGGTCTGCTTTGTATCCCCATCCTGCCACATGTCCACATGCATGTTCTGTTCCCTGATGCCTGTTCCCTGATGCCCGCCATGCACTGAGCCCAGTAAGCCTTGTAATCTGTTCCAGAACCCGTTGATACAGGGAAACCAAGGCTTCACTGCTAAATACTCACAAGTGGCGGGGACCCATTCTAACCAAGCACCCCCAGAGATAGTACGAGTTAGTACATTGTTACCTAACACGAACATAAAAAGGCATGTCGTGGATTAACGCTTTTTGTATAGAAACTGGAAACAGTTTCGATCTGAGATAGACAATAATTCGTTCCTATTTGTGACTTTTCAGGACACACGAACAATGATATTCATTGGTATTAGACAATTTTGAGAGACTGTACTTTTGTTACAATAAATATTCATTAACCAAAATGATACGTGTTGTCTACACTAGGGATATTTGAATATTTGTGTCAAACATAAAAAAATGGTTTCTATCAGAAAACGTAATGCACTGAAGAGGGCACGGGTGGCCCAGTCGTCTAAGGCGATTCGCTGTGTAGAAATCCAGTTATCACGGCGTGACAGCTTATGTGGGGTAAAGCCCGAAGTGATGCAGGTCTTGCAACCTTGCAACATAATCGGGGCGAACCGGGATTCGAACCCACGATCGTGGGTTTCTGGCGTGCCCAAGGGACGCAACTCTGCACAGCGACACGCGACGCGTTAGAGGTTCTACTACACCAAAACAGGATCTGTCGTTCAACAAGCAGTTTTCAATGCAGACTGAATCATCTGGCAGATGTGTTTGGATGATTTTGTGAAAGATTTTTATGTTTTTGAAATGTACATCCATCCAATAATTAAAACTGACCATGTTTTTTCTATACTTAGTACTGTCTTTTTCAACATGATGACTAATGCTGAATGTGACCACAGATATTTTCACGGAAGTGACATTTGGTGCGGAACTGGGGGTGGCGTGTTCAGCTTCCTGTGATCGGAAAAGGAGCTGGCTCAGCCAGTCATTAGTTTCTGCTCTAAGGCCAAACTGTGCACACACATACGGGTAATAGCTGTTGAATGCTTTGTTATTTAAAAAAAAATATAACGTTACTGTAGAAGTCTATCGGAAAATATTTGGTTGTGTGTAACTAGACACCAGGGTCACTCGTGCCCCCTCTAACATGAAGGAAGTGGGTAGACGTTGGAGTCTGGAGCTATTGATGGTGCAGAGTAGCGAAAGCGTTGCTGGCCCATATGGGGGGGGGGGGGGGGGGGGGGGGAGGGGAGGGAGTGTATCATATGAGCTATTCTTGGGATGATTGTACATGAGCTATCTGTAGACAGTCAAGGCCCATTAACAAACAACCTTAGCTAAGGTTAATCTTAACCACTTAGCTAGTATTGGGATGGTTCATTCGCGTTACGCCGTTACGTTCAGAAAAAAATTATTCGCGTTACGCCGACCAGCGGTTTTTCTTTGATCATATGTGCGTGTTATGTTAACCCACGAGGTTGTTACAAGCACGCAGTGAATGGTGTTTTTTGATGGTGTTCACATTCTAACAGTAGAAACAGATTTATGATACATTTTTGTGTCGTTTATTCCACACATTATATTGTATCAAAACCAGCGACATGATCAGGCAACAGTTGATACATTTCAACTTGGTACAACGAACAGAACATGATTTACATGAATTATAACATTTTTTAACTTGATTAGAATGGCTGATACAACATCGGCATAGTGGATGATGTCGATTTCTTGCCTCCCCAACCTCATCTTCAAATTGGCGATCTTGCGGTCGACTTCTGAGTATTTCTTCTTCTAGGGACGTCTTTTCTGTCCTGCATTCTGTGAATTTCTGATGACTTCTGCTCTTTGGAAAGGAAGGTAATCATCTCGAAAATGTTGGGATGTGCCTTTCCCACGATCTTCTTTAGTCGACATGCATATTGAATATATTACACATTAACATGCATATTAAATTTATTACGCATTAACATGTATATTGAGTATATCACATAAATATCAAGAATCTAATCTATCGTCCTGGTTACTACTTACATTGTCAACAGGGTAGACATAGCGTACTCGGGTGTATATAGAAGACCAGGGGATGACACTTCTTACACATGGGTAGACATAGCGTACTCGGGTGTATATAGAAGACCAGGGGATGACACTTCTTACACATTGGTAGACATAGCGTACTCGGGTGTATATAGAAGACCAGGGGATGACACTTCTTACACATGGGTAGACATAGCGTACTCGGGTGTATATAGCAGACCAGGGGATGACACGTCTTACACATGGGTAGACATAGCGTACTCGGGTGTATGTAGCAGACCAGGGGATGACACGCCTTACACATGGGTAGACATAGCGTACTCGGGTGTATATAGCAGACCAGGGGATGACACTTCTTACACATTGGTGAACGTAGCGTACTCGGGTGTATATAGCTGACCAGGGGATGACACGTCTTACACATGGGTAGACATAGCGTACTCGGGTGTATATAGCAGACAAGGGGATGACACGTCTTACACATGGGTAGACATAGCGTACTCGGGTGTATATAGCAGACCAGGGAATGACATGCCTTACACATGGGTAGACATAGCGTACTTGGGTGTATATAGCAGACCAGGGGATGACACTTCTTACACATTGGTAGACATAGCGTACTCGGGTGTATATAGCAGACCAGGGGATGACACGTCTTACACATGGGTAGACACAGCGTACTCTCGTGTATATAGCAGACCAGGGGATGACACGTCTTACACATGGGTAGACACAGCGTACTCGCGTGTATATAGCAGACCAGGGGATGACACGTCTTACACATGGGCAGACACAGCGTACTCGCGTGTATATAGCAGACCAGTGACACTGAACACGTTTCGTTGCCCCGTCCTTTGGTGACAGTGTAGACTAAATAACTCACCCACACCTTGTGTTAGAAAGCTCTGTGATGTACAATCTCACTACATCTCGCTCCTGTTGCACCCAAGATCTGCGAACAACCGACTGCAGGTCACCACCGACCTCCTACACAACTATACCTGTAGCAACAGGCCTCGACATTTCCAGAATCGTTACATGCCTATTCGATGTTTAAGGTGGGCATAATACAAGAAATGTATTTAACAACTATTCGATCTTTATGTTTACGCAGATGAAGTTCAGGTGTGTAGTTCATACCCTCGATATAAGGGTATACACACATTCCAAAGATTATGGGGGTGGTCGGGTAGCCTAGTGGTTAAAGCGTTCGGTCGTCTCGTCGAAGACCCGGGTTCGATTCCCGACATGGGTACAATGTGTGAAGCCCATTTCTGGTGTCCCCCGCCGTGATATTGCTGAAATAATGCTAAAAGCGGCGTAAAACCATACTTACTCACTCCAAAGATAATGATGTTTTAACATCGATGTGTCACTACTGCAAGTATCACCAAGAAGATGAGTACCATGTGTTACTAACGTGTCCAGTATATGAAGATGGAAGAATCAAGTACCTGTCTAACTAGTATTACACGTACCCAACACACACACAAAATTGTACAGTTAATGAACAGTAAAATTGCCACATTCTTCTCAGACTTGCAGTTTTTTGTTAATAAGATATGTGAAAGAAGGATGATACATTTAATATGAATTAAACTCAAATGTGTACATTTATTCAGATACAATATATAAGTGGTGCTCTACAAGAACTTTCCTTCAACAAAATGCCATTATACTATTGGCCTCATGGCCACATATACGAAATAAATATGTCTGTCTGTTACAAATAAGACGACGCAAAATTTTGGGACCCAAATTAGCAAATTGCCTAGCGGATTATCTTTGTTTGTTTGTCTGTCTGTTTGTTTGTTGTTTAACGACGCAATCAGCAATATTCCAGCTGTATGACGGCGGTCTAAATAATCGAATAAAGACCTGACAATCCAGTGATTGACATCATGAGCATCGATCCACGCAATTGGGATCGATGACATGCATCAACCAAGTCAGCAAGCCTGACCATCCGATCCCCTTAGTTTCCACTTAAGACAAGCACAGTTGCATTTTACTGCAAGCACCGGATGCTGAAGACCTATTCTACCCCTGATCTTCGCGGGTTAGCGCATTATCTGCATCCATTAGCATTCAAGGCTGAAGCTGTGACACGAGATGCTCCTCCCCATCAGCGGTATCCGGGCTTCTGGTCGTCCTGAAATAACACCAAGTTGCATCTGTTCCTCTCACACAAAAAGCATGAACTTCCATAATATTATATACATGTACAAGTTATTAAAACAGAACTCAGTTCATAAAACAAGGTTTATGTGAGTTCCCTAATAGATTTAGCATGTTATCAAACACTAAATATTTATTTAATGTCTTAATTATATACTCTATATAACATATGTGATTTATGAGAATGACGCCGTTGATCTATGTTACTATGATACGGTTAAACGCTGAAACTGAACGTTAAAGGATTATTGACATTACAAGGGTTAACAGAACCCATCTGAACGGTATGCTGGCCTGACATGTGTGTATTTGGTTAGGCTATGGAATGGAGGCTATCTCCAGACGTACATGTATACATATAGCATGTTCACTTTATCTTGAGTTGCAACATAAACACGACCATGCGCCAGATATACCGTTACGTACACTACTGTAATTCGTAGCACTTTTAAAGGGAATCGCCTGGCGAACTTTTAACATGCCCTTGCTATTTGAAGCAACAGAATCTACCATGACCACTTATGTACTCAGGTAGGTTTTACAGACTTCCAGACAAGCTGCCTATCTGCCTAAAATACGTGAATTGATTCTCCATTTAGATGTATTTTAGTTGTGCGAACAAATTCGTATAAAAATTGTAAAATCCTAGTAATATAAGAGCGTAATTACCCAAAGTAGCCTTTTCAGCCTGCGTGCCTGAATTTCATGACATATCGAATGAAGTCATCACATAGACATTGTTTGAGTGAGTGAGTATGGATTTACGCCACTTTTAGCAATATTCCTGCAATATCACGGCGGGGGACACTAGAAATGGGCTTCGCACATTGTACCCATGTCGGGAATCGAACCCGGGTCTTCAGCGTGACGAGCGAACGCTTTATCCACTAGGCTAACCCGTCATCCTAGACATTGTTTGAACTCTAGTACAGGGAAAAGTTTTGAGAGACCCTTTAGGAACTTGCGTCAATATGTCAATATATAAGGTACATGTCGATGTGCATGTACCGTGTACACCAATAGACTGGGGTTGTTTGGTCATTAAAGCGCAAGTGAATTGAAAAAAATGATAGCGATTTTTTTTTTCGAATATCATTTGTTCAATATAATTATATTGAGTAAAAACTGAGATGAAAACTTCCTAACACTCCTAGAGGTGAGGAGAGGTGAAATG